GCCACAAGTTGTTGGAGAGTAGGTTTAGATTAGACATCCGTAAGAACTACTTCACAGTTAGGGCGGCTAGGATCTGGAACCAACTTCCAAGGGAAGTGGTGCTGGCTCCTATCCTGGGGATCTTTAAGAGGAGGCTTGATGCCTACCTAGCTGGGATCATTTGAGCCCAGTTTTTTCTCCTGCCCTGGCAGGGGGTCGGACTTGAAGATCTATAAGGTCCCTTCTGACCTGACTTCTATGTTTCTATGATTCTATTTGATATGAACGTGAGGGAAAATAAGAAATAAAACTGTCATTGAGTACAGATGTGCCTGCATCCTTTAATGCCCAATATTGAAGTCTTTGGATATGTGGATGTGTACGAAGTTTACTCATATTCCATACAGTGATAGCTATCTTTGGATGTCAAAGCAAGAACTGTAATCCAGACAAGCAAGTAGACTGGTGATTTCATCAGTCTCTATTCATTACTTTGGACCAATAAAGAAGAAAGAAAAATACAGAAGGACATCTACATTAATTAAAAATGGATTCTGAATAACCATCATGTTGTCTATTCTAATACAAAGGTCATGAGCTATTTAAAACAGAGAATACTTTATTTGCCCCCAAAATGAAACTGCAATATATTTCAACTTACTGTTTTTGTTCATATCCCAGAAGACACAGATAGGACTAGGATTCTCCTAAAAATAATGTACAAATAAACATTTTATATCTCACAAAATATAAAACCTGCTAATGTATAAATGCAGCAGATATTCCATTGCTTACGGTTTTGCATTAAAATGAAGTGAAGAATTATTATTTGTACTGTGAACATATTTACAGGTCTCAGCCAACAGCCCTCTTCTGTCAGAATGCCAATCCTGCCTTAAGACATTAAAATCTAATGTCCTGCAAAAATTCACACCTGTGCCTAAACTGTACATATAAGTACTAGTCTCACTGAAATTCAGCACATATATGAAGCCTTTGTGGGATGTAAAGGAGAAGTACTTTTCCTTGTTCACTTTCCTTGGGATTCTCAAGGTTTTCACCAGTACATGTTAGGCAACACTTTGGAAAATCAATATAGATTTCACATGAATCCATTTAGGAGTCATGTAGGCTAACCAATAAAAAGTAAGCCTAAAGTAATTGAAATATGATTTTTTTTTATTTCTTCCATTTGCAACAGGGCTCATTCTCCTCACTTAAAATGGCCTAGGGCTGATACAACTTTCTTGTCTCTTGTAGAGCTTTTCCTGATGTATACAACGATATCTGAGTCCTGACCTACGTTACGGTATTGCAAGAAAAAATCAGGTTCTGTCAGAAAAACTATGAATGCATTTACATGAAGAGCTCCCTGTGCAGAGTAAGACCCTTCTTTCTGCTAGCAGGGTAACACTACCACTTTGACCAGAACAACATTTCTGCTGCCATCTGGAAGCCAGTAGAAGGTATAATTTGACAACCCTGCACCTTCTGCCAGCTGCTGTGGTCTCTTCAGCACTGGGTGCTTTCCCCAGGTTCATTATGCACCTGCCAGCACAATAAAGCTTACCAGGACTGTTCAGAGGCTTCCCTGTGGCAGCTGATGGCAGAAGTTCTGGTAGATGCAGCAGCCTAGTTTCAACAAGGTCTTAGAGCAGAACCAGACTCATACATTGGACTATTTTTTTAAAACTTATATAGAGCATTGTGAAATATTTTTTTAGGCTTCCATTTCCCATCAGTAAGAATCAACCACTTTTAAATGATGTGATCAATCCTTTTATATTTGGGGGAAGTCAAAAAATAACAAAACTTCAGATTCTCTACCCCAGGAGTGGGCAAAATGTGGCCCAGGGGCCAGATGCAGCCCGCCAGGCCATTCTATCTGGCCAGTGGGGCCCTCAAAAATTTAGAAAATTAATATTTATCTGCCCCAGCTGCTTATCATGCGGCCCTCAATGGCTTGCCAAAACTCAGTAAGCGGCTCTCCGCCCAAAATAATTGCCCGCCTCTGCTCTATCCTGACTCATGTTTGATCAAAGAATTCAGATAAACCTGGCATTCCTTTCAACACTATATACTGCACAAGTCATGAAGAGATCTAATGTTATCAAATACTATCAGCACAGAATCTGTAGTGGGACTGAAGAATTTCATTCCAAGTGAGTGCTAAATCATACATTGTTTGTTTGTTTTTACAAATCTTATTTTTTCCTTATTCAGTAAGGATACTGAAGCTTTCTATGAAACCCAACAAAATCAGTCTTCAAAAAGTCTTTCTTCAGTCTTCAGACCCATTAAGAGACTTTCTATTGCCGAGCTCTGTCTTTTAATACACATAATGTAACATTTTATTATTCTGGAAACCCAGTGTTTTCTTACCTGAATTTTGGTGTGTTTAATTGTAAGCGTGACCTTTTCCTGGAGGTCCCGGATGGTAATGTTCCCAATACTGCATGCCACCACAAAGCTTGTTAAGTTGGCATGGCTTTCTACATCCTTTGAAAGATATATATAAAATATCCAGTAAATGCTATAGCAGAGCACAGGGTACATTTTATTTTTATAGTGTGCCAGAATAAATAAGCTGTCTGTATTTCTACACTTAAAATCACCCATTATGAGAACATCCTGTTTACAAGATCAAGTTGCAAGTTTTCCTCATGGAACCCTTTGCTATTTCCCTTATTGTCATAAACATATACAGGCTAAATTATAAGGACAGATTGTAAGGCAATTTCCATTAATTCCCCTTCTAATCACTTTGTTTTATGCCAACTAGAGTGATAACTCAAACAATGCTAATTGATAACAAACTGTGTTATAATTAGATCATTTCCCTAACTAAGAATGAACTAGCTTTCTTATCTTATTGACAAAACAGCCAGTTGGGGGAAAATTCTTTTTTTTTGGCATCAAAAATAGTCTTGACATGACCCATTTGCTGCCTGTAATATTACATACTATAACAAAAAAATCTAAGCAATATTATATAGCAGGAGATAATATTTTGTACCATATCCTATTTCCTAGTAGTTTCACTGGAGACTAACTTTATTGCTGATGTAATGCCATGTGTAAGACACAGTGAAAAGGCAGTAGATTTGGTTGGGAATTTTCCAGTGAAACAGATTTTTGTCCAAAAATGCTGATTCATCAATATTGAAATGATTTATAGAAACAATTCTGTTTCCAGTGAAACTGTGCCTAGTTTTCTTTTACAGAGGAGCCTGTGCTTCCATGTCTTTACCACCAGAGCAGCTCCAAATATGGCTTGCCCTCCTATGATAGGTACCTCAGGGCCACCAGTTTATCTGAGCTGTGAGGCATCCCTCTTATATAGATTGCTCCAGGGTTGAGGACCTCAGGACTTTAAATCTCCTAGCCAACTTCTTCCATTTATGTACATCGTTGTCACAGTATGGACAATCAAGTACCCTGAAAGTCAAGCAGCTTGGGAAGCTAAATGGCTCAGATAAGAACGCTAACTGTGCAGTAGCGCCCCTTAGGCAAGGAGGCAGGGAGGGGGATTATTTCTCCGTCCCTCTGGCAGAGGGGGCTTATCTCACCACTTGCCCCATGCACAGAGTGAGTGGAGGTGGTTGGTGGGGCAGACCCTGGCTGTGGTCCCCTAGGGCCAGAGGGGTGGTAGAGGGAATAACACCCATCCCTGCCCACTCTGCCTCAGGGGCCATGCTGGCCAGCATTTGACCCTGCTGTGGCCCCACCACTGCAGCAGCAAGGGGGAAGTGCCTTGGACACCCCAGCCCAGGTCCATGCTGATGGGACAGGGAGGGGGGAATTAAACCCCTCCCTAGCCAGTTCACTTGGAGCTACTGTTAGGGCTGTCCATGTCCCCCCCCCCCCCAACCCTGGAAA